CAGGAGGAAGGAGAGAAGGAAAATATTCCCTCCAAACTATCACTGTATCTGCAGACCCAGAGAAAAACCATTTGAGATCTGATGGGGATTAATAAATTTGGTCTGTCAGTGACTTGGGTTTTCTTATTTCTTTTTTTTCTTTTTAAAGACCTAGGAAAATTCCTTTCTGTAAGTAGGGATAAATGGATTAAACACCAGCTATTTCTACAGTACAACTAGTACACCATTTCTTCCAGACCAAAATACAAAACTATCCAATCCCACCAAAAGCAAGAAAAACTCTGAGACATGGGAACTATCTGTGGAATGTAACTAAGGGGTCAGTGTCTCATATTAAAGTCTAAATTCTTCACATAAAAGCAGTAGTTACAAGTGCCTGACAATGAGATCAGTGAATTTAATGTGCATCAAAGACTTCATGTACCTTAGATAACAGAGCTCAGACCCAGGTCTCAGCCCTACTGTGAGATTTGGCCCTCCTGTATGAAGGCTAAAACAGCCCTCATTTGTCAGCTGAAGTTATTTACAGTATCTACCTTTTCAGAAAGTAAAACAGTTTAATTCATTACTCTCTGGAGTATATGTTTAAATAGCACAGAACTATAAGAGTTCAGTATTAGAGATGGAAGTCTTAGGAGATATTGATACTATTCACAAAGCTCATTTATGGGGGCTGAGAGTGTGTGTGTGTGGCAGGTCAGTCAAGGCAAAAATAAAACAAAACAGTGGGAAGATTATTATTTTATCACTTACCTTCAGCTGAGTCAGGGACTGTAGATCCTGAACAAAATGGCTAAAAATAAAGATAGGAGAATGTCAGGATTTGTTGGAATTTTGTTTAGAAATTTATTTATTTTTTTTTACAATTTCATTTCTGCATGAATAATTACATTTCACCAGTGGATAAGCAAGGGTCTTGCAGCCATTGAAGTCAACAGCACAAGCTCAGACATTAAACAAATCCTGGTTTCAATTAAAAATAAGTTTAAAATGGATACAGAAGGGTTTGTATGCAAGTCAGATGAGCCTCTTCTGCTTTCCAGTATGGATCTAGCTGAAAGCACTGCACATGCAGAGAAGGAAGGAGGTGGCTTTCCTACTCTCAAGCAACCTTCAGAGGCTGCCAGTCCTGACAAACTGAAGGATCTAACTCTGCTCAGCCAGAAATATAACACTGATGAAAAAATTCCAGGGCCTTTGTGACACCTTTCCATTCTTTCTGCCTTTCAGAAACATCTTCAAAACACACTGACTACACAGTTTAATACTGGCCTCAGTAGCTGGAATACATGTTCTACTGGGCCTGGTTTGTGGCAGCTGTGTGTTAAGTGCTTTATAATTAAATGGTGGAAATACAGAATTTTGAGAGTATTTATCAAGGTAGGAGAAGATATTTGCAAATGAAGAGTGAATGAAACTCCAAGATACTGGATGGCTTTCACACAAACTAACTGTGGCGGTAAGGGGACAGAAAGTGAGGCATCCTTTGACAGAAGGGTAGTGGGCAATGAGAAAGATAGGAAGATAATTACACTCTATTAGCCTTCCTTAATATTTGGCTTTTAACATGAGACTCAGACCAAATCTTTGCAGATACTTATATTACAAGTTTGTGCTTTGAATAGCTATGGGAGAACACCTAACTTTTTATCACGTATTAGTTAGGATCTATGTTCTACTGCATTAGAGTTGGAATATATGGTTTGTTACTCATATTCTAAAATTGATTTCATATTTTACAGGAAATTAAATTCCTCTCCATTTTGATACACACTGATTTGAATCAATTACACTCTTCACTCCCACCCACAGGCTTCTTATATAGTGAGTTAACAGAACAATGGGATTGACAAGAGCAACCAACTGCACCTCTGAAAAGAAACAAACATATCCCAAATAAAAAATGAGGGGAACAAATTCTTCCATGAAAGCAAATTTTTCCTTTGTGAATAATTTAATTGGAACAAATAATATACACAATCAGTGTACAATAAAAATGAAAAGGTTGGTTAGAAACATTAGTCCCATTTCTGAAAAATTCCATTCACTGGAGAGGTACTAAGTCACAAAACAGCCCTGACTTCAGCTAAGCTACTCAGGATGAATGGTTTCTGGAATATTGACCCTCTGTGGCCTAATTACCTCTTCCACTGGTGATTCCATTTCTTTACCAGTTTGGCAGGATAACTGCTGAGCTGCAGCCTGTTCTTCTTCTGACAGAGGTAAGCGCTGGAAAACAGACAAACACAGGACTCTGATACTTTCAGTTCCTAGGGTGATGGTTTACAGAAGAACTCAATGTTTGTGCATCCCTTTTCTCATGGAAACTAACAGGAGACTCCTACTTCCCTTCTGACGGAAGCAAATTTACAAGCAAAGTATTTCTGAAAAATCCAACCATAATACTCCTTTAACATGAGTACTATAAATGATTCAATGGAAAGAAGATAAATTATTCAATGTATTTCACTTACATTTCTGCACAACAGTTTAATCCATATTTTATTTAGGAAATATATATAAAAAAAAATATTTATTTTAAAAGTCTAAATATAATTCAAGAAACAAGAGTCTTCCACTTTAACAAAATCCAAATATGAAATTATTCTTGGCAGCATATCCTTGGAACACAGGGAGAGAAAACATTTTTTCCCTTCTGTGACATGTAACTACTGTCTTTTAAATAATTCTAATAATTTTAAATCATTATACAGTACATTTCATCATTAAAGACTGACCAGTAGTTTGCCTAGAGCTGTTGACAAACTAAACACAACCTTGGGGCACTGCCATTGGAATGCTAAAGCCAGAGCTGAGATCTGGGAATATGTTTTGGTCACATCAGTTCTGTGCTTGCCACTAGACTAGTAAGTAGCTTTTTTGATCTAAATCACCTTATTTGTAAACAGACCAAAATAATGCTTTGACTTCTTAAGGAAGCAGTGTCTGAAGACCACTTACAAAAATGTGGTGTTATTATTTTCCTAGATAGATAAGCATTATCTTACTGAGAAAAACTTACTCCTGTGCTCCAACAGCAATTCCACTGCATGTGTTGGTTTTAACCTAATCACTTTAGACAGTGAAAATACATTTGCCATTTCATTTTTTGCCTTTAAACATTTATTTCACTTTCTAATTTCTTCAAGGTGGCTACTCGTAAAAAAGGGCTGCGGTTGGGACACTGCTGTGCACAGAGGCAACAATTTCTATGAAATTATTCAAATGTGGGTCACACTATTCTCACTATTATGATATTCCTTCAACTCCAAAATGGAATTCCACTAGCTTAACTGTTGAGTGATCAATCAGACTTGTGATTTACAAAAAGAGCTCAAATCTTGCAAACATTTCTTTAGGTAAACAGTCTACTCTTAAAATATATTAAGAGTTTTCTGAAAGTGAATGTGTAAGTTTCCAAAAGAGCTACAAACGGATACATAAATTTTCCACAAATACATGTTAATTTACAGGAGTGAGAGCCAAGTGATTAAAATGAAAATACTACCTCAAGATCAGTATGATACTGTAATGCTTGAACCATCTTCCTGGTGTTTTCTAGAGCAGTACGGATGGCCTGCATGGATTCTCCCTGCTCTGTGGATATTTTTTCCAGCTGCATACATAACGCTCTGTAACGAGATTTCACTGCTGAGAGTCCTTCCAAGAGAGCAACTGGATTCTCCTGTGCAGAAAGTTAAAAGTACATTTAAACTATTTAAGAAGAGAATGTTAATGTGGCCACATAGCAACTAAAAGCGTAGGCATTAGAGCCACTAAAATATAACATGAAATGACTCTCTGCAATGAGAAGTGTAGCTGTGAGCATCTGTTTCATCTATACATTTCATTTTTCATATGCAAAAATGATAGTGTTAACAAAACAGCATAACTCTGTGGTTCCACAACAAAAACAGGAGGATGAATTTATTGTGTTGGTGAATTTTAATGGCTTTTCTGAGATGGAATAAATTAGGGACTTGTAACTAAACAGATTATTTTTCCACTATATGTCAAATACACCTGGAGACAAGGACTTATCTGTAAAATCCTTTACATGATGCCATTTATTCTTTTCCTTTCATCTCTTCCCCACATCTGAATTTGGTCATTGCTTATTAGCAAGTTTATCTTTGATCTCAGAGCAAGGGTGCATTTTAGCTCAGCCTGGAACCTGTCTCTTAAATGTAGGTGCTACCACTATAACTCATTTCTCAAAGCAGAACATAAGACAATTTCACTATAGCAAGAAATCAAGGGGGTTTTGCTGGTTTCTGCACTGAATTGATATTAGGCCAGTTACCTTGGCATATGATGCAAGAAATATTTTATCATAACAATAAAAATATAACAACTACATAAAAGAAGAGCCATGTTTATTTTAGGATGAAATAAAATTACCCATTTATTACCAACTTCATGAAAAGTGCAACAAAATCTATTAATTTAAGATGAAAATACTACCTCCGCTTCTGGATTTTCAGGAAGACTCTTCATTATTTCAAACTCCAGTTTGTGTTGAATATAATCCAGATCAGCTTCTGCCTTCTGGAACTAAAATATTTAAGGTCAGCCACAGTGTGTTAAAAAAACAAGAATTGCAGACAAAAGCCAAGCATTTGCCTTTCCTGTATTTCAGGAAAGCAGAAGCCAGATGCCTCCATTTTAAAGGCTCATTCTGTAAAAGTGAGTTTCTATTCCTCCAATCTATTCCATTAGTTAATATTTGCCAATCATGCTGACACACTTCCAGCCTAAAAAAATAAAGCAATAAACTTTCAGACAACACAACCATTTTCCTCTCACATGTAATTCTCACATCTGTGTGTACACACAGACACTTCAATTATTTTCAACTCTTTCCATTTGTATAGCTTAAAATACCCAAGTGTTCTCTTTGCATCTTGCCAGTAGTACCTGTTTCATGCAGCTCCCCAGAATGATTGGAAACATTTCCTTCTCTTCCTATATTACCTTCCATCTCCCTTGCAACGTCAGACCTCTCAAGATGAAGTTTTTAAGGACACCAAAGAAGTATGTTATACAATAGAAAAGAGCATGCATAATTTTAAAATTGATCTTTACTTCATGCAGATGTTTTCTTCTTTTCTCCTTTGATATTATTTTCCATTCATTTTTAAAGCTTTTTCTTTGCTTGTTACTTTTCAAACATCAGAAGTTCTGTTAGCAAAATGGCAATACTCCTTTCTTTACACAGCATAAATTATGAATAGTGTTCAGGATCAAAGCGTATCAACAGTGACTTTATTATTAATTATATTAAGAATGCATTCTCTCAAATGGTTATAATACCCATAATACATTTTATTATTCCCCAATAAACCAGAGTGAAAAATAGATAATTAAATTGTTGACAATACATTTCTTTTCTTGGGATAAATAAGCCACCAGAGAATTATCTAATTGCCTTGTAAAACAGTCTGCTGATAGCATTATTACTTAATTAATTTTAGTCTGCAAATTTAATATCTATTAAGGACTTCTGCTTTAAAGAAAGGCAGTTTTCCCAGTTCACATAAACTTCTTAATGTATGATTTTATAGTCACAGAAGAGACAGTGATGACAGCAAATTAAAAATGCTTGTCACTTGCTTCACTTGGTTCCCACTGTTTATCATGAGATTAACCCTGAAGTGACCACGACAACCTTTTAAAGGATCAAAATAAGGCTCTATTTGTTATCTGTGTCCCAGAGCACTACCTGGCAGTGCTGTAATGGCAGCTGAAGGGACAAACTTTTGCTCTCTTTGAGTCTAGCCTGTAGTGAGGCCTGGAAACCAAGATGACGTTTGTGTTTTAAACATCAGCCTTGGGATCCACCTTCAGGAACAGCCAGAAAGACCTTCAAGGATCTGGAACTCCAGATGGCCTAAAGGAATAGTATTCCATCCAAGATCTTCTACTGGTAAAATCCCCTGTCATACTGAAAATGCATGATCTTTCATGTCTATATACACACCCTCAGCACATTTTAAAATAATAGTTTAAGAAAAGGAAAATAAATCTAGTCAAGACTCTGAGCATTTATCAAAGGGGAAATTTTCACCTGTTACTCCCACCACTCACCACCCGCCCAAGAAAACACCTTCCCACATCTAACCAGTCATGATAAAATGTGAGAATAAATACTTTTTATTACACTAGGTATTTTTTTTAAGAGTTCATGAGGTGTTTTTCCTAACTGGTCAATTGTTTCTGTTCTCCTCCATTAGGAAATGTTTTTAGGTTTTCACTTCTAGGGGGAGGCAATCCAAAAAGTTCAATTTGGGAAAGCAGACCATGAATATGTGAGGCTTTCAAAATTATCCATGAAGGTCTGTTCCTAAAATATTCATGATTGGTAATTTGAGATTTACAGAACAGTAAAGCGCTAATCCCATGCTACTACTATCACTGAAGACACTAAAAACGGAATGTGAAGCCAATATCCATTTTGTGGGTATAATTTTAAGATTTGTGCTTAATGAAGATATTAACAGAGTTCAGTATCACTGCATTCTCCTGAAAGTATGCTAACTCTAAAAGAAACAGAATTTATTACCCACAATTTCAAAGGGAGTTTATAAGCACTGCCACACGTTTCTCCATTATGATATATTTTTTTTTATTTCTTAAATACTTTTCTCTTGCTGCAGATCTGGAAACATACACCAGCAACATTATAGATTCAGGCCATTTTGATGATGAGTATCGAAACAGTCACCCAGAAAATGCAGTTTGTTAAATGTACATTGGTTATTATTTACTCACAGGCTTAAAAGAAAGTGTTAGGAACTGTGAGGCCAAACTGAAGCCATTGCTGCATGCCCTGCTCTCAGATGCTTTGACAATACTATTGCACTGCTAGCTGTGAAGTACAGTAGTGCAATAAAGTCAGAGCATTCGTTAGCAGCAAGAATTCTGTGCAAGTGACCAGTACATGAAATAGGTCTTGGAAAAAACAGGTCGAGTCAGGTAATGGTTTCTGTGGATCATGGAGAACTGAATAAGGTTTATGTTCACCAAGTCCTGATACAGACATACAAGAACTCACGTATTTCCAGACATTATTATTGTTCGTAATCCCTGTCATTCCACTGACCAAGAAAGGGGGGGGAGGGGAAGAGGAGAAAAACATCCAACCAAATGCAGCAGATCTGTGAGAAATGTAATTTCAAACAACTTGGTGCCCTTTTAAATTGAAACTCCATTTCCAAATGTATTTATTTATTAGATTTGCCTCATAGCAAGTAAGATTTTAAACTGCTATAACATTTTCTAGACACCAGAGTTTATTCTTCTCATCTACAGATGATGAATCACATTAAAGTACACTTAAATGCACACTCATTTCCCAGCATTGTGGATGTAACCACGGGGGTTACCACAGGGATGTCAGAGCACCATCAAAGCAGGGGTGTATTTCATAAATCTCAGAAAGGTGCTTCTTTTTAACAGAAACAGAAACTTTGTATAAAGGTTTGAGAACCTGTAGGGTTTGAAGCCACTAAGAGCCTTAAATGCAAAGTAACAGAGGAATGGAACAGAGAGATGGAAGATTGCTGCTGCACACCTGAGCCAACTCCACACCTGTAACATTTCTCCAGGACACACAAAGGAGAGAAGAAAGCCACACAGTGATTTTTTCCTCTATGTAAGGCCCTTATTTCTAAGGAAACAAACATACAGAGTTGATGCTAGTTAAAAGACCAAATAAAAAGCAGTTAACAAATTTTTCCTTGGCAAATAACTAGAAGACAATGAGTGAGTGGCAATGCCATTTTACAGTTGATTTGCAAATCATGTTCGTCTCAGACATAAAATAGGGACTTTTGACTTGTGGCAACAACAACAATAATAACAACCCAAATAACTGTAGATAGTATTGCTGGCCAATGCCCTTTTAACATTGCACTGCTTTTTGTGCATGATCACTAGTAGTACAACATAAAAAGGGCACTGGACAGACACCACTCAAAGAAGAAAAGTAGGTCCACTATACAAAAAATATGGTGACAGAAATTAACTAAATTGTTCTGAACGAAGCACTGGACTTAGAGTAACAGTCTCAAATAACCAACAATTCCCTGGTGTTTTCATACACATTCTTTTTAAGGTCCTACACATTTGTTTATCCCCAGTTCCATGAAACTAAAATGACACTTTCCATGAAATGCACATCCAGACCTTTGGGGAAATAAGAAGTGTTATTTTATCACACTTCTGTGGAGTTAGCTGCCTTCACAGGAAATCCAGGAAGAAGAAACAAAGCGCAGAAGGAAAAGCAAGAGACACAAAGCTGCAATATGTGAGATACAGTTGCCAGTGCACACATTCTGATTAACTTCAACAGTGACAAGGAGACTTTTGAATTAGGTTGGTAGGTAGGAAATTAACAAGTGAAATTGTTTGAGGTACATTTAAGAAAACACTCTTTTCTATAAAAACAAAACCAACCCAACAAAAAAACAACACAAAAAAAACAGGTGAAGATGCAACTGCCTTATGTCACCCACCAGTTTAAATGGAAGGAGGCAGCCAGGCACTTCCATCTTCTGCTAGAAGGACTGAACAGAAGAATCAAACAGAAAACTGCAAGGCTGACAGGATGAAATAAAAGTAAATTTCAAAAGTAAGTTTCAAATGGATTATCAAAATTATTTGGAGTAATTAGGACAGGGTGAAAGACCAAACTATAATCTCAAAACCTTTGGAAGTTGTTACGCACCATCTGTGCAGAATAATTGACCTGAACAAACTCTCTCACCTTGAAATTATTTGTGCAGTGAACATTGTGTTCTACTCATAAGCAGATAATAAGAAAGTGTCCCATTTCTGTCTCCTTCCACTACCATATGTAAAAGCCCCCATGAACTTGAAGGGGGCAGAAATACCTGACTATTTGTATGTCCTAAAATGTCAATTACTAACCAGCAAACTTTCAGTAAGACTTTCAATTCAACACAGAAATACAGCAATACCGTTAAATAAAGAAATATCAACATCTAATCTAGGGAAACATATTTATAAATAATTATTTCTAAACAGGCTTTAAAAAAATAATGAAAGATATAGCTTACACTGTGGGCAAGGCTGAGGTTTTGAATTTGAAATTAGAACAACTTCAGAGCTCTGACAAGAATGCAGAATGTCACCAAATTAGAATAGTGTGTATTACCACTCTCTGTATTCAGCCTGATGACTGCTGTTCAGTAGCTAAAGGAGAGCAAAAATAACCCCACCTCCTCAGAAGCCTGGCTTCCTCAAAGAAAAAAAACAAACCAAAACACATGACCTTGCAGTAAAAGCGAGAATTAGGTAGGATAGTTGGAATTCTCTCATCTTTCAATTAATTAAGGTATTTTGGAATTTATTTAACTTGTTACTGTTTTCTTAACAGAAATAGTATTGGAGCTTAAAATATTCACTCCCAAGTGTCCTACTATTGCAGTGAGATGCAGGTCACCCAGTGAGGTGACAAAGGGACATTAGCAGAACAAGCTCACATTTAAGACAACTTCCAGCCAGATGTTTCTTTTCAAACAACAAACACTTCCTTGGCCACTGTTCCTAACGCTTTAAAGGTCACATTATGCTGGTGCTGGAGAAAAGTGACTGAAGGAAGCACACTAAACAAGTTTAAACACAGGGGATTAAGCAGCACACCCATTTTGTGTATTAAAGTGGAAGTTCAGCACTCATTAGGTTAAAGGATAATGTGGATATACAATAATCCCCATCATGTTCTCCCACTGTTCCTCCTATTCTTAATTTCTCCTTAATATTGCACATTGCTGATATTGCTGTTTACAGATAAGAACTAAGGGACTATTCAGCTGATTTTTACATATTTCTTAATAAGAGCTTGAAACCAAGATCGCCAGGGGGAAAAAAACACATTATTTGTCTCAGTATTGAAAAATGTACATTTTTCTCCATTAGGACACCTGGGGTTTATCAATTAGGGTACCTAACACTGCTGGCAGGACAATTAAAATTACAAAAAAACTTCTGGAAGTTTCCAATGCAAAAAAAAACCCAAAGGAGCATCACACTTTGGAGAATTATGTCAGGACGAGCATTTTCACTTACATAAGGATTCAGGAATAGAAATTATCATTATTTATTAAGCATGTGGATGCATAAAGCATCCCCAAAGCATTTTAACTAAAAAGAAAAGAAAAGGAAAAGTAAGGAAGATTACATTTTGGAGACGCAAAAAAGGAAGACCAAGATTTCAAGGATGCCATAGAGAACTGAGCTGCTTAGAGACAATTTTCCAGTGCCTCCCAATATGCGAAAGCACAGGGTAAGAGGTATTTTTTTCGAGGGTTGCCTTTTTTTGTTCTGTTTTTCCGTGAGCGGGGCAGGCAAAGAGCTGCCTGTTCCCTCAGGTAGCTCGGTCTGCCCGCAGAGAGTGCTGAAACCAAGTTGAACGCCGCGAACTTGAACGGCTGAAGGAAAAGCCACCCTCAGGACCGGCTGCAGCCCAGGTCCCGCCGAGAAAGAAAGGCTGAAGGGGCCGGACCCTCCTTCGAGGGTCGCGCTGCCGCCCCC